AACATGACGGTCTTGATATTCAGAATAAAAACCCACATCATATCGGGAACTTTATTAAAGTTTTTGAAAATAGGGTTCAAGTTCAAGTTTCCAAATTCTCTTTCAGACTTAATACACAAATCATCGTGTTTACCCGCAGTCCTCTGTCAGTGTCCACAGGGATCTGTCCACATCCCAGTCCCCACCGGACTCAGTGTGACTGTTAGACTGTGCAGGTCATGGACCACTGTGCAGTGAGCAGGATAGCTGAACTGTTGTCTCTCCACATCTTGCACTGCACTGGACCCTGTATTGTCCTGAGCCACAGTACATCAGGATCCAGGACCACAGGTGACTCTGACAACAATGCAGAAGCCATGGCTTCCCTCTTTCTGTCAGCCATGTTCCAGCTCTCACATGTGCAAAAGAACAATCTGGTCCTTTAACTCACTCTGTCAGGTCTGTGGATTCGTAACAGGGCCGGGGTGTGTGTGGGGGGGGGGGGGGGGGGTGTCCTGACTGTTCTGACCCGGGGATCACAACAGTCAGGTGACCGGGGTGTGAGCAGACTGATCCTATTCCAGATGCTCACAGAGAGAAATGAGTGGGAGTGAATAGGTGATGATGATGCCTCTGACCTGATTCATGATCGTATTCTTTTGTTTCCTGATGCAAAACAACAACATTAAACCTCCAAGTTTTGACATCACACTGAGAGAGTGAGGCTCAATTATAAAGGTCATTTACACTGTCATCCATCAGTCGCTGCTATATAACTCTACCATCACAAGGTTCGGGATTCAGATTCAGAATATAACAGTCATGATGAGTCAATAAGAGACTCATCCTTAAATTTGTGCTGTAGTGGAGATATGAGCTGTTCCTGTTGCTCTGCTGATTCGTCACGTCGTCACGTGATACTGTTATAGTATAGTTATAGTGTTATGTTTGGACAGTTTATTTCTCAACTGCAAAATGTAAGTAAAGGAAGTAAATTGTCCTGCTCAGCACATGCTGATAAAGTAGCTCCTAAAAATGATGCTTTGATTTCTACTCAGTGGTTTGACCACAAACATTTTGGAAAACATGTTTCTCCAAAAGGTTGCTGTTACGCATCAGAAGTATATGTAAGTATATAAATACATAAAGTGGCAACCTCTAAGATTTTCATTTAAATATCACTGACTGAGGTAACAGAATGGTGACTGAGCCTGTGACCCACTGATTGAAATATATAGAAGTATTTTACAGGTGTATGAACTGGGTGTCTGGTACGAATCCCCCACAAAAATCACAAGGGACACGAGTCACTAACACAAAGGCTGTGTCTTCTCATCCTTCAGAGGCTGCATCTGAAGACCGTCTGTCCCGTTTCAAAAGCTCCTTCAAATGCGTTCTTCTCTTCCTGGACCAACCTATCCCAAGATTCATTGCACTCAGGTAATGAAAATAATTGGCAGCAAACAAGTTTTAGATAGGTGTTCCTAATAAACTGGTACAGAGTGAAAGTTTTTCTTTTTGTCAACAAGTTCCATGAAAAGATCAAAACCAGTGAATGAACGTCTCCTAAGAAAGAACTGTGCATCTGACTTTTTTTGCCTGGTGGCTGGTAAACATCTTACCAGGAAGTGGTTTTCACTATAGGCCTGATTTTATTTTCACAAAATCAATCATTTTGTTATAGAGAAAAGATCACTTCCTACCTGTTCATGGTTCTTTTAAATATTTTGTTTTCCTTTTCTTTATACGTGCACTTTGTTAAGAAGTATTCTGGATCTGAGACAAACACGAGTATATATATATACTATAGACTATATATAGAAATATCAGTTCAATGGTGAATGTCAATAAAAAAGAAACTTTCTTTTCCCTCTTCCTCTGCCTTTAATCAGATTCATGTGAGGACCCTCAGACCACTGTGAGACCACTATCTAACAGTAGATGAACTATCTCCTGCTTGAGCAGCTTCAACTGTAAAATGTCACTTACACATTGATGCATCAGAGTTCAAATCTAATAATGTTCACATATAATAATAGACGATGACGTGACGCCTAAATTTTTCTGTCTGGGTCCGAAAAAAGGTTTCAAAATTCACAAAAAGATTCCATATATATGTAGTAACTCTCCCATATATGTACTCACTTTTACTTTTCTTAAAACTTCGCGAATTTGTAATTTTTCTTCATTTAATGTGTCAAAATTATCATGTAGTCTGACCAATAATAGCAATGATATATAAATTCATAATAAAATATCTCATTTCTGTGGCGAAATATTCAAAACTGATACAGTATGATTAAAGTGAATGTATTTTTTAAACATCCATAACACTTTTATGCAATTTATCGGAAAAATAAGTCTGTCAGTACATTTAAGATGGCGACTGTGACATTGTACAACCAAAAATATGAGGTCATTATTTACAAAAACTAAAAAGAAGTGAATACTTTGTTTTTAAACACTTCATATTACTGAGAACCTGTAAAAATGTTAAGCATAAGTTAAGGAAATGAAATAATTCACTGTCGCACCACATGAGATTTTTTTAAGGCCACGGCCAATTCATCTAGGCGAAAAGAACACTAAAATCACTTCATTTAAAATATGAGTATGAATTTATGTGTACACAAATATTCGTGATATTTGAACAAAAGTAAAAAAATCATTATTTTTGTGTATTTTGTGAAATTCCTTATACATCACTGACCCAATAACATATTATGTGTATTTCATCCACCACTGACAATAAGTCATGAGGAAATTGAAGGAATCAGTCCTTTTTTCCCCCAAATATTCTTTTTTCTTGTACACCCTATTTTATAAAGGGGTTTGAGTATCAAGCAGGTTCAGCCCAACTTTTTTTTGTTTGTTGGTTTTAGTTATTTGGATTGATTATGTTTCCCTGTTTGATATTTTATATATTATAGGTATACTTTTATATTTTAGTTAATTTTCCTTTCTTTTCTTTTCTTGTTTGGATGCCTATAGTTTAATTTACTTCACTGGTCCTAAATTGTTTCCATATTATCTAGTTTGACCCATCAGATTCATTATTTTTGTTTGTAACTGAGTCTCATTCAAGGCTTTAAATGGATCATGAAGTAATACAATAAAAAAAATCATTAAAAAAAAGGAAGGAATCAGTCCTGCAGCTTTACATGAAGGTGCTCTGAGCATGGACACAGTGACAGCAGTCTTACCTGCAGGTACTGAGGCGACGGCGGGGCGTACACACAGCTGTTCATTATGTAGGTGCGGACAGTTGAGCTCCTGGCCTTTGTCTTCACTGAGAGCTCCACAGGACTGTACGCACCTAATGTCACATTCTCCTGACTGACACACACCACACACACACACACACACACACACAACACACACACACAACACACACACAACACACACACAGACACACACACACACGTACATACACACACACACGCATGCGCGCACACACACACACACACACTCACACACACAGACAACACACACACACGCATGCGCGCACATACCACACACACACACACACACACACACAACACACCAACACACACACACACACACATATATATATATATATAGTGGATGATAATTTCACAAGAGAAAAGTTGGGGGAAATCCAGGAGAGCTCATGAATGAACCCTTTACCTGTCTAGAGACTCTAGATCAGACATGTTCATCCTCCAGACGACACCCCACACCTCGTCACCTAGGCTGTGCTCTATGGTGGCTACACCTCCATGCCACCGGTCACTGGCCAAGCCTCTATGGTTCCCAAACACCAGTTTATAGTCCTGAAAAGGAGAAAAAGACAGAGTTCAGAAGTGTGTACAGTTGAGAACGGGACGCCGATGCCCCTAACATCAGACTGTACCTTGAGCCTGGCCACACAGTGAACTGTTGCAGAGGGGTTCTTGAGCTGGAGCCGCTCCTTCAGGAGGTTGCTGCCGTATGCAAAGTACAGGAAGGTGTGGTGGCTCTCCATTTTGTCACCAGGTTCTGGCAAGAGGAAGATGAGAGCGAGGAAGACTGAGGATGAAGAGGCAACAATGACGGAGGTGGAGAACTGAGCTAAGCCACAGTTTGGAGGAGCAGAAGGCGGAGGTGAGAGAGCACGAGCTGCACAGGGGCAGAAATGAAGTACTGGCCTTCCAGCACTCACACACCATTCTCATGCTAATCCCCTGCACTGCCACTGAGCCCTATTCACACTCACAATACACAGTTCACCTCATGTATTGAGCCAACAGCACTAAGCCATACACACAGATCAGATACACACACACAGACACAGCAACCGGAAATGAGACAATACTCTTCCTGCAGCACAGCATTAAAAGCCCTTTGAAGAGATAAAGGGTTTCCGTTCACTGAAATTCTAGTGGCCTTTTAATTTGAAACGATTACAGGAAGTGTTGAGTTTGATGCTTAAACAGGGCAAACCGGAGTGGGTCAAAACAAGGCTCTGTACTAAAATACCACTATGACCAACTCTACATATCAAACAGAGGGAATTAGACATAAAGGCCTGTTACTTTTTACAGGGCCTCTGTTGCTTTCCAGCCAAAAAAGTCAATAAACTACTCATAAATATTAGGAGGGTTTTCAGTTTATTATAGCTTTTTAAAAATAGTCTGATTCCTCCGCTCAGACTAGTTTCACATGACATCCCTGTTTATCCAGAGACATGTACAATATGAACCATTTGTGTGAAAGTTTGTCACAATTTCTGTGTGAAGTCTTGAGTAATGGCTAAAAAGTGTGTTCTGAGGTCACACTGACCTTGACCTTTGACCTTTGATCACCTTAGTCTAATCAGTTCATCCTGGAGTCCAGGTGAGATGAAAGAAGTTTGATTTCCTGATTAAAGGTTGATGCAAATGATACACGGTTAATGTGTTATAGGATGTGTTTATTTTTCCCTTTGGTTTTATGGCTGATCACTGTAAGACAACGAATGTGGCTGAATGTCAGTGATATCTGACTACCACCACTGTGGTCCCAGCAGGGGTGAAGGACCCACTGAGGGAGCTGGATGTGCTGGATCCTCCAGCTGGATTCTGTCCTTTGGATTAGGGATGATCTTAGAGAAGAAAGTGCATTTATCTCTGTGAACACCATGGTATCACCCCATCATGAACCCACCTTGATGACCTGTATCTCATTATGAAAACCATACAGCTACATGACACTGATGGCTGTGACCTGAGTTCTGTTTTTGTCATATTAATCTACAGAGGACAATAAACTTGTATTTTATTCCCATCAACACCATTTTAAATCCAATTAAAAAATAAAGTAAATGCCGCCTCGGGGCTCCAGTGACAGCTGATGCTTTGTCTTACAGTCAGTGTGTGTTTGCTGCACCACAGTAGCTGTAATTTTATAACACTGGCTCTGCAGATCAGCACATTCCAGCTACTGTACCATGACAACTTCTTGTGTGCGTGGTGCGTGCTGCAGATGTCAACTGACGCTGTTGGTGTGTTGTACTTTACACTGTATCACCTCATGCAGAAAAACAAACCTGTGTGTAAACCCAGAACTCTGTGGTTTCTGTGTGTGTTTGTGTATCATTGAGCTTTGGGCTTTAATTGCCTTTACACAAATAACTCTGTGCTTCTTGGATCAACTACTCAAGGATTATGGAGTAGGTGGAATTAATTGTGATACTTCATAACATACAGATGATCGGGCTGCTCATTGTCATCTTATGTAATGTGGTGATTTATTGATACTCTGTTGATGTTTGTTATTTCAACATCTGGTGACAAAGTCTGATCATATAATAGATTAATAATAAACTGTTTATCCTGTTCAGGGTCACAAACATCTGAGCTGCAAACTGATACCACAAAAAAAAAAATTAACACATCTGCTGCTTCACACACAAATTAAGTTGACTCATTAATTACAGATCAGCTTACACACCAAACAATGACAGCTGTTATCATCCAACACAAGAACTGAGTGTTTGTCAGTGAAGGGCAGTGAACACAGTATAGACAACCAGTCTACATGGCAGTTTGTTTCATTTGTGTTACAGACACACTAAGCGTTAAAGACGTGAGTTTGTGATGTGTAATGCTGGGACCACTTTAACCACCACAGCAGCAGCAGACAGTGGAGGCTCAGTTGTTTATATAGAATTAAGTGATTGGCAGCAGCACAGATAATATTCAGCATAGTTTTCCAACATATCAATCAACCAATCAGACTTTATTTGTAAAGCACTTTTCAGACAAACAACGTAATATTCAATAAATAAATGAATAAAAAACAATAAAAATAAAACAATAACCGGAACTAAAGAAACTCTATGATGAATCTCATTCATTTACAATGAGGAAACAAGAAACGGAAAGTTACAGATAAAATCATAAAATAATAAAACAGAACCAAACGAAAATAATAATAAAGGACAATATAATAAAGATAAGATAATATCTAATAATCACAACACCTGCACCCATGTTCTCCACTCATGTGCAAACACTCCTGACTTTACTGATTACCAGTAATCTAAGGTGGCATCTTAATTTAGTTTAATAAAACTATTCTTTATCAATTGTTTACCATGTCTCCCCATTGTTGTGGCCACTTGAGCTAGGTCAAACATTGGGTATTTGGGGTCAGCCCTATGTTCCCACATTTCTAAGAATGTTTTGAAAATTAGGCCCTATTTTCCCACAGTCTTATATGTTCCCATAAGCCCATGTCCACACTAACCCGGGTAATATTTATCCGGTTAGCCCTTCCGTCCACATTAGAACGGTGAATTCCGAAACTGAAAACGATGCTTTACAAAAACGATAGCTGAGGTGGATAAATGTGAAGACGCCGTGGAACGTGGATGCAAAGCGTTCTGAAAACGATTAGTGTGGATGGAGATCGTTTTCATTGTGAATGTGCATTTTTATGTTTACCCGGGTTAATGTGGACAAGGCCTAAGATTTTTCTCAAAAGGAAACCCTATGGTCCCATATTTCTTAACATAGGGCTGTGGGAACATAGACACGCTCCCGGGTATTTAAAAGAAAACAACCCAGAAAATTAACATGGAATAAAGGGACATAAACAGCCTAAATGTATGAATAAAACTAAAAAGGTAGGACTTAAATTTGCTATAAGTTGAACAGATTTAAATACATTGATGCTACATACGCTATATCCCATAAATGCTATGTAAACAGAGGAGGATAGTAGAATATCTTAGTTAGTACTCCACATTAACACACATGCAATATAACACTTCTAGTTGGCTAGCATTAGATCAACGGTGAGTGAGTCAAAGTAACACACAGCAGAAACCAGTTCAGAAAATATATTATATATCACGCCGTTAATAACTTACACTCTGAACGAACGGAAAACATTCTCTGTAGACCAGGAAGAAGAAGCCGCGCTATCATTGTTGGTTACTATAGTAACCCGGCACATTAATTCTAGGACCCTACAGTGCAACCTGGGCTGACCAAGAGCTGCCTGCCTACAAACAGCATAAAAACCAGTACAACGAAAATAACGGGGGGATGGGGGGTTCTGTTCTGTTCTGAGTGTAGATAAATAATAATAATAAAAAAAAGGAAATAAAAACAATAATAACAACAACAATAATAATAATAAACAAATGAAAAATAAATGCAATAAATAAATAAATGAATAAATTAAAAAAAAAGCTTCAATACACATGGTTGAATTACAATTAATTTAATAATTAATTTCTATTGTAATCGTCATAGAGGAGGATTTACTGCAGGACTGTTGTACCAGACTGACTTAGTTTTGGCTGAGTGTTCCTAATAAACTGACATCATACATCAAGACATAAAAGTACATGCCTCCTGTCTCATATCTCATCTCTAAACCCCCTCCCCCTTGTGTTCTGGTTGAAGTCTGGATCTTCTGTTTTCTTTCAATTTGCTGTGTTTTAAAAACATTTTTTTTATTGGTTTTAATTGTTTTCCACTTGAGGGTTACTGCACTAAAGAGACTGGGAGATGACCTGCCAGCCTGTTGGACAGTTCTGTCAGTTCAGGCCATAACATCCAAATCTGAATCCAGTGTTCATCAGCACCTGTGAGGACCACTTCCCCACCTGCAGCTACAGTTTATTGAGGGTGGGGCTCCTGTCTTTCTGTCGTCGTCCTGCTGACCCTGGATCAGGATCAAGCGTTTAACCTCAGCAACCAAGACAAACACATCATTTTCATTTTTAAAGATGACTGAATTCATCACAGTGTTCCTCACCTGTCCTAGATGACTTATAAATGAACTGATGAGTCATTGTTTGATCACTCATTAGAAAACAGCCATCCTGTGAGGGAATAACTTAAACCTTTATGGTGCTGTTTCATTTTGCTCAGCAGATGGCAGCATGTACACAGTAATGCACTGAGAGACAGTTTCCACACAGAGGCAGTATCCTGTCCATCTTTGACTGTGCGCCACTGTTCCACCAGTGGTCGGCCATATTGGACTGTGTTCACCATCCTTTACCTGGAAACATTTCTTTAGAGATGCATCTTCAGACTGTAGGTACTGCCCTTTCAGAGCCATGCTGTGGGCTTCAGATCAGATCTTATACTTTATACATGTCAGTGATGAAAAGTAAATAAACATTTACTCAAGAAGTACAACTGGGAGGCCGATGAACTTTACACTTTTCCTACATTTCAGAGGGAACAATCATTTCTTTTATCTTTCTTTTATTTTTTTATCTTTGTTTTCCTTTTATTGCCATTTATTGAAGTGCTAAACAAATAAAGTCTGATTGATTGATTAATATCTTTCTTTTTTCTTTTTTTTTTTTTTACTAGTGGTGGAGTACAGTATTACATCTAATAACTTCTTTCACCTCCCACTATGTCCATCCCACTCTCTTGACCATGTGTTAAGACAACTAAGAATCCAGGAGACAGCAGGTTTGATAAGAGATATTTATTTAGAACAAATACAGAGCTTCTTAACTCCCAGTCCCAGCCCCCAGCCCCCCCCCCCCCCCCGGGAACTACTGTCTACAGTCAAGTGTTGCATAGGTTCGGTATATGTTCAGATGGAGGACAAGGTGTTTGGGTGTGTCTGGTCTAAAGTACATGATGATGCTGCAGAACATCCTACTAAAACATCCCCGGTGAATACGAACTAGAATAAAAGATGTTGGCTCCAGTGTGACTGATTGATGGATTTAAACAAAAAAAGAAAAAAAAAAAGACTTCAGTGATAAGATTTCTTCTACCACAGACTGAGAACCGAAAAAAATAGTTTTAGAGCTGGAGATGCTGAAGATCAGAAGTCAGCCAAATCAGACCTGAGACCTGGAAACCAGAGATGGAACTGTGGCCGGACTGCACGTTCAAATATGAATGGAAATAAATTCCTTCGATCACTCATCTATAATGACCACAGGATTCAAAGTAAGAGGCTGAATAAAAAGGGAAACCTGAAGTCAAGCAAAGCTAACACTTTCATTTATTATATCAGATAACTGGATTTACTTATTGATCTGAACCATGTTTGAATGTAAAAAGTCAGCTCCAATAAATACAGTAAATACAATAAAATAAATGGAGTTTCCCGCTTACAGTCAGTGATAATGGTAACCATGATGGTAACCATGTTGCATGTCTAGTTAGAGTGTAAAACAAGCCTTAACTATGACTAAAGACAACTGACAGGATTTGTTCTCTAAAGGAACAATTCCTTGGAACACTGCTCACTGTGTATTCTGTTGCTGACATTTTAAATATAATTTGTACTACAATACCGTGCTGTTAGCAGAGAAACATGAATTCATGTTGTTGAATTTAGATGGAGGCAGAGATTTCAGAGGCACATATCTGATCACCTGGACACAGAAAAACACCAGTATCTGCATGAAGAGACGGCACTGGAGGGAGGGGAGAGAGTTTCCTCTGCAGTGATTTGAGTGAACGGACACTTTAAAGCTAAAACCTGTTTCCATCTTCAGGATCAAAGTGCAGCAGATCCTCAGCTGGTTGAATGTGGACACAGCTGAACGTGCTCTGCAGCCACTGTTTTATTAGATGAGGATGAATTATAGTGAGAGTGATGTGTGTGCTCTGAGTGTGGAGCCTTCCCTGAATGAACATGAAGGATGAGCTCAGATAAAAGCCTCCTCTGTTGTATGAAGTTTACATCAGTTTCACCTTCACATGACATCTGTCTGACTATACACTGCTCACACCTGTGCAGTGACCCCCCCCGTCCTATATGCTGCTGGTCCTTTGTGGACTCTCCAGACCTCCGAAGGTCCCAGTGGAGTCTGGCACCAAGACGTCAGCAGCAGATCCTGAGGTACAGCCACCACAGATCATCCCCCAACACCCTGTCTCAGTTCTTGGTTTGTCCCTCATTGGAACGCTGTCATTAGGTCCGCACACTGCTGACTAGGCACCCCCCCATGTAACTGCACTGACCCAGTGGTCTGGCTGTAACACTCTGGTGTCTCAGGGACCGGTTGCACAGACACTTTAAGTTAACATTTTCCTTAAAGTCCAAATTAAGATTTCCTTAAAATAAAAACTGTTGCACAAAACACACATCTTCTCTTCAAGGTTTCCTTATAATGTTCACTTAAGTATTTAAGGTTTTCTCCTTATCTTAGTCTTAAACTTAAGGAATATGTTAAAATCAGTTTAGCTTTTAGCAACCAAACTAAGGAAAAAAACTTAAGGTACCTCTGACTGTATCTTAACTGCAACATGGCTGACTTCATGACGATAGATGAAAAGAACCTGATGTTCACCCTCAACAACGAGGAATTGATTTTGATTAATAGATTTGATCAGCAGTCAGTTTATGATTTGGATCAGTCCACTTTCAGCAGCTGTGCTCTTCCAGCTCCTCTGCAGTTAATGATTGCTCTGTGCTTTATGCTTCAGGGTGTTTCCAGTCAATTATTGGTGAAGTATTTCATGTCCATTGATCAACAGTGTGCTGTGTCATTTACAGAGTGTCAGGTGCTCTGACCGTCTGCTGAACACTGCGGTGGAGTTTCCATCAAAACAAGACGAGGGTGACAGAGTGGCCACTTCTTTAATGTCATTTTTTAAAAAGACATTTCTTTCTTCTGGCCAATTTTGTGAGACAATATAGGTGAGAAGTTAACAGGTATCACGAGTGCTAATGCCAGCAAACCAACAGTCTCCATTGTAACTGTAGAATTTTACCGCTGTAAAATCTCTTTCATTTCTGCAAACGCCTTAATGTTATTCCTTATTCTGTGCAACAACCTCAGCTGAGGAGAAACTCAACCTTAAGTGCCATATTTACTCAACTAGTAGAAAACTTAAGGTGTTTTGTGCAACTGGCCCCTGGTCTTTACAACATGTGGACTATGAGAATCAGCTGTTCACTCACTGACAGATATATACCAGAGATAATCACTTCACCATGTTGTGGCTCATCGTATCTATTGTACAGTGAATTGTGCAAATCTGTTGTGACACTTGTTTCGTTTAATTGTGCAAACAGTTGAAAAGTGAGAGGCAGTGACTAAGTCCCGCTGTCACTGTGTGTGGATACTGTTATCTACTGTCACCTACTGTATTCTCAAAGGTGGCTGTGTCAAATCTGCCTCACCTCACTGCTCAACAAACAGGTCTCTGATTAAATAGAGACTGTTAGTGTCCATTTGCCACTGGAAGCCTTTGGCACCTCTTCTTCCAGCACACAGAGAGTCTCTCTCTCTCCCTTCTTCTCTCTCTGTTTCTTCCTCTCTCTCTCTCTTTCTCCATGTCTCTCAGCCAGTCCCTGGTCCTGATCGTCCCACTTCGTTGTCTGGGAGTGGACAGCTGCTTCCATGGCTCCTGGTCATTGAGCTTTCCACAGAGGGTTGTGGTATACCCAGCCTTCACCCTGTGTGTACACACACACACACACACACACACACACGGCGGGGTCAGAGAGGGTGGGGTTAACCTCTGTAGTTTAACACCCTTTAAAAGAACTGATTTTACTACTGTCCCTACAACCTCGACCTGGGCGACCAGGTAGTTTGAGGTCAGGTTTATATTTAGTGTTGATGAACCATAAAAACCAGCAATAGTTGCATTTTAGCCTCTCAGATTCCCTCGTCCTGAAGTCTCTGGGTTGTTGAATGTGTTTTTGGTTCGATCACTGAAATAAGGTCTGTGTTAACACAAGCTCAAGTCATTTTGACGTTTTATATAAAATACGTCAGTAAATACCCCAGTTCTGAGTTCAGTCCTGGTTTCTTTAAGCTTTTACGTCTCTTAAAAAAGACCGGTTGCTAATGAGTGGAAATGAGACTGCAGAGGTTGTCGGGGACGTTAAACGTCATCACAGTGAACATGAAAACTGATCTACTCACCAGTCCACCTTCACAGCCTCGTTGTGTTTATACAAACTGTTACTGACTTTGTAAGAGGAAAGGCTTTTGTAGAAGGTCAGAGCTAAAAGTTTAGTGGTGGTGATGTTGAAGTCATGTGACCGTGGTGTAGTTGGTTTATGGTCTAACAATAGCTTTTTACTTCTGCTGATTGTATTTAGGCTTCAAACATCATGAAGTGGTGTTCATTAGTGAAGATGATCCTGCTGAACTAAACCTGTCAGTGTCATAAACTCTTGTTTATTTCCTGTAATAATCCAAAAGACAATGGAAAAATCCCACTGGCTGTTTATGGAGGGAACCGGCGTGATGATAACTTCAGGGTTGGTCTGCAAAAACACTTCATCCCTGCAGCACTGTGTCACTGTAGACATAGTGACAAGGTTCCTTCATTACACATTGGCTGTGTCAAAAATCACTCACTACTCCCTCTATAGTTCACTATATAGTGACTTTGTCATTCATGAATTTTCCCTAGGGGATAAATAAAGTATCTATTTTCTAGTGCTGTCTGAATGTATCGTGAGAATTATTATACCCTATAACGTGGACTCATAGCATCCCACAATGCAGCATTAAAAGTATTGTACAACCGATAGTCACTAACCAAGCAATATATACCATCATGCATTGCGCTCATGCTGAAAGATAGAAAAAAACAGTGCGGAGAAAATGACCAAGGGAGTAGTGAATGACACAACCATGATATCAACCATAGCCAACAGAGTCAGTCCCGCCCCTTCTCTTCCATTCAGAAAGTGAGAAACTGATCTAAACCTGCTTCTGTCACTGAGGCAGTGATGTCACTCAGGTGTGCTCCTCCTCACCTCTTTCATAAAGTATTTGGGTTTCCAGGGGACTCTGGCGGCCGCTCTCTGTTTGCCCTCGCTGCGCTGCCTCTCCTCCAGGCAGTGTTTGTGCTCTGTGGCTGCGTCCATGTTCCCAGACTTCAGAGATGCTGTAACGTGCTGCCAGAGACGCCTGGACACAGGAAACACAACAACTGTCATTATTACGCATGAGAAACATCATCATCATCATCATGTGCAGGATCATGCATCTGGAGCAGCCGTGTTGTTGTAGGATAGATTGTTCCGAGTTAGTCTCTACAAATACATAGAGATTTATATTTCTGTGCGTGAGACCAGCTGCTGATGAACCATCAGAGCAGATGAAGCTGCTGTAATGTGAGAGGAGTGAGATGTCGCCCACACAGAGGATCTGAAGAGTAGTTTTTTTCGGAGGCTTTCAGAAACTCTGCTGGACCTGTTTTATTTTGAAAGATCTGGGATTGTGTTGTTGTCTGGACAGACAGAAACTGAGACCTTTGCAGGCGATGACATAGACAGCTGCCTCTCCTCCTGATTGGCTCTCATCAGCCTCGACTATCAGTGGTGAACACATGGATAATGAAGTGTTACTGACCTTGTTGTCTTTGCTAGCAGCTGTTGTTCACTTACATTCTCTATTTTAATGTTACAACTGTCTTTACTTTTTCTCTGTTTTCTGCAACTAACCAACTGCAGAGTAGACAATCTGCTTCCTGTTTGCACCAGCATCTACGTAGTGTTTGTAAATGGTGATGTGATTTGTGTTTTCAGGTGGATTAGCATTAGTTTTAAAAATAATATGTATTAATGCGAATGTGGCTCTATAAACATCTAAACTTCTCTCTCTGCTCTTTGGTCTCTCTTTTACTTTACACATTAATTTAAATGTAATAAAATTGAATTTAACGTTTAAACATTACTTCATTAGATTTCATATATCATCCATATTTTTCTTGTAATCTCAAGATTTCTTTTTTCCCCTCAGTATGGCCCTAATACTCCGTCGTACCTCTGCAACCACAGGAAGTGACATAAACCTGGAGGAGTGGAATGAACAGAACAGAAAGAAGAAGATTGACAGATCATGATGTTGATTGTTGTTGGATCTGGAGGAAAAGCTAAAGATATGAGAGGGAATAAAGTTGAACTGTGAGTTGAAGCTCTGAAAGGAGTTGAAGTGTATCAGAGAGCAGGCTAACAACTCGTAGCATCTTCTGTGTCTCAAACAGGAGGTTTCTCCTGTTCAGCCACAGACCACAGTGCTGATGGTGTGATACACAGACACACACGTGTGCGACTCACCGCGACTCGTACTGGTCCTGCTTCTCCAGGGGCCGGATCTTCTTCTTGACGACAGGCAGCCTGGACGTGTCGATCACCTTGTTCTCTCCGTTGTTGTAGGTGAACTCCAGGACGCCGTTCCACTCTCCCTGTGCCTTACACACTATGTTTCCTGTGTGTGTGTGTTTCACCTCTGCTGTCACTCTGAGAGAAAACAGCACACACAGGCGTGTAGCCGTCAGGACTCACACACATCTGAGGGTGAACAACTGTCCACCTGTAGCTTTTCATGTTGCCATCAACAGACATCTGCTTACACTCAGACACTCAGGTACTGAAGTACAATTCTATGGTACTTATACTTCACTTGAGTATTTCAAGTTTATGCTGCTTATCTACGTCGCCACATAAATTTGACAGATATAGTTGTTTGTGTTTTGTCTATTTGCATGTTTACTTAAGTTGCAGTGTGTTGAGCTCTCAGGGCCTCCATACTTATGTCCATGTCTACAGTCTCTGTATCATATCCTGCAGTCTCTTTATTCTACAGGTTCTACAGTCAATCAGTCAGCAGGTTGTTTCAGTGTCATTATGTTCTGTAAATGTGTAACAATACAACAACATTCCCTATCATTGGAGTAGTATTTGTCCAGGAGGATCTACACTGTGACTCAAGTGATGGAGCTGTGAACTCTGTTCACCTCTGATTATTTCAATACTTCACATACATTTTCCTCATGATACTTCTGTACTTTTACTTCAGTAAACTTTTGAATGCAGGACTTTTACTGGTAATGGAGGATTTTTACATTGTGGCATTGTCACTTTTCCTTCAGTAAAGGGCTGAATATGTCTTCCACCACTGGTATTGTATGAGACAAGGATTAGCTTGATGTTTTTCTCATAGTTTTCTTATAACATTCCTAGAAGATGTAAATTTTGAGTTATACCTTTTGGATTTAAAACGGTAAAAGTAAATTAATCATAATGTATAAACATGTATGACTTAAAATCGACTATAGGTTATATTTCATGTATTGTATAGTTGAATTAATTCATTTTCTTTAGTAATCAGGTACTGTCACTTTAAGAGAGTGCACCTGTCACATGTCCTCCAGTTAAGCTGTGGAAGGAAGGAATCCAGTGGAGACTGGATGAGCTGTGGAGTCATACAGTTTTCATACATGTCCAGTCATGTTCAGTTATTTTAGCCAGGAAACACTGGATTCAATCTGCTTGTGACACATGTGGAATAAGTTTGTATTTTTTCAGCTTTACAACGGAGCAGAGTGGATTATCGCGTGGAACTACATCAGTTGAACACGTGTAGGCCATGACTACCAGCTAAGTCACATTTTTGCAGCAACAGGTATAGACACACAGGACAACCACATTTTCTCATGTGTGCACCTGTCATCTCCTGGCTCCAGACTGACGTGTCTGTGCTGAGGGTGGAGGAGAGGTGCAGCAGGGGTGGAGCAGTCTCAGGAGGATCGCTCTGCCTACCTGTGTACTTTTCCTCCGTAGAAGGGTTTGGTGTGGAAGGTGACGGTGGCAGAGTACCCACTCTTGGCACAGTTGATGGTGACCTTTCCCCCGAGCTCCACCCACGGCACGGTCAGGATGGAGCGGGCGTAGGCACAGGGCAGAGTGAACACATACTCCTCGTCGTGCTCCAGCAAATACAGCACACCTGGGAGAAGCAGGACAGGTGAAGGAGAATCGCCTCTGAGAGGTACTGTGCTGAGAGACACATTTACTGGAAAAATAAATCATGTTAGTGGTTAGATAGACAAAGACGGAGACAACAATGTACATAGAAGAAAAATCTGACACCAAAGTAAAACAGTTGGATTATTGTAGTGCGGTAAAAAGTTTGATGTTCCTCTGAAATGTATAAAGTAACTAACTAACAAACCCAAAATACTGAAGACAAGTACAAGTGAGTCAAAGGTGTGGTTCCTCCTCTGTGGATCAGTGGTTACCAACCTGTGGGCCGGGGTTCTCCTCGGTCGACCAGCTCTTTCTTATGTAGTTTCCATGTGAATTGCTGATTATTTAGGATACACTCAACAACCTTTGATTTCTCTCTTAAAGATCTTTGTGTTTTATCCTCATCATCCTCTTCACCTCTTTACTCCTCACATTGACAGAAGCTCCACCTCGGTCTAAATGGAACTAATGTTGAAACAACTCACAGCTGCTCAACAAACATTTAGTCGTCAAGTGTCCAGTTACTTTTAGAATAATTAGAGCTAGACCGACTTATCGGTCAGCCAGATATATCAGCATATATTCTCTGATATGCGCTGATATGAATACTTTTATTAAGAAGCAATAATGCAGTGGAAATTCTCAGGTCAAGTCAAATTATATAGGCAACATTTTATGTATATTTGATCCTTTGTTTTCTTTCAAGTTAAATATATATAAAACACATATATATAAAAAACACATATATATAACACGTGTTTTCTGAGCAGGTGAACATCAGTGGAGCTGGATCTCTACAGTTACATTAGTGATTTAGAGTCTGATTCCTGCTTTGCCTTGGATCTTGTTTGCCCCTCCTGAGCTCCTGTCCAGCTCCCCTGCTGCTTATATAACAAACAGCTGTCCTGTGCCCAGGTCTAACACACCCACATCTGTTTCATCAAGAGACAGAGACACACACACACACACACACAGGTTGATTTACACAAATTGTTCACATGAAGGGATCTGAGCAGTTTTCACACCACATCACAGAACTGTCGGTGTGTAACAGTGTGTGTTACTCTGACCCTGTTCTTCTTTATGAGGAGGTCAGACTGAAAATAAAGCTCCTTTAACTGCCATAAATATATTTATGTTGTCATTGAATATGTTTTATTTGCACACATTATTCATATGATTTATTTATTATTTATGTGAATTGGCTCTATGTAGGAAGTAGGTACTAAGTTTGCGCCTGTGTTGCACAGGGACACTTGAAGTTGTAACAGTTTGCTTCAGAGGAACAAATGAAGTTGAAAGAAAGTTAGGTTTTTGTACTCAGATGACACAGATTTATTTTTGCTCCATTCATTCCCTCTTTGTCATGTGCTCTGTATTAATACTGTGAAAGTATCAAAGCCTCAGTCCACAGAGAAATGCACACAGCCTGTATTCAGAAACTGAGCCTTAAAACCAACCGTCTGGACTTCTGGAACTTTGTGATGTCACAACAAAGCACTCACTGCTCACAGCCACGCCCCAAGCCCCGCCCACCTGGACCCACTATCCAGTTTTTTTATTTAATTCTGAAAGGACACTCAGAGACTGGACTCTGAACTCCTCTGGATTAGACAAAGCTGCTTTTTACTGTTCTATTTTTTGTATGACAATGATAATTATACCTCCTTGTTGTAAATAGTTTTGGAGAAAACTTTAAAATTAAATATGGGTTCAGAGCTGCCATTGGACAATGAAGGCAGAAGCTCAGGGTGGAGGACACCATCAATGGTGAGAGGAGGTACATGATAAAATCAACTGTTCATAATCACAGTGAACTAGAAACTGCTTCACTGTGAAGAGTCACAACCTAAACAGAAAGAGCAGGAACTGAGTTGAGCCTTCAGTTGAAGTGACAGGTTTGTGTGTATTTGTGTCTGATACTACACACACACACACACGTGCAGTCAGGACCATACTGTACATCTGTATCAGTGTTGAGGAGCTGAGGGCTCAGGAGGATAATAAATGCTTCATGCTGCCTAATTGCCATTTGCCTACAGCCAACCTTCACTGGCCAGCCACACTGTCCTGCTTTTCTTTGACACACACACACACACACACACACACACACACACACACACACACACACACACACACACGTTTAGGTAATGAACAGCTGCAGACTGTCAAACAATGATATTTGCACCAGTTAGCAGTGAGTCCCTGGGGCAGAGACATGTGCTGCTGCAGCAGTTAGATGAACACATGAAGTTCTGATGTGAGCATAAACACAACGGAAATGATCAAAGATTACCAACAAAGAAAGAACAAGTCAACGTTTAAAAAGGTCAGAACTCTGACGATCATTACTGGTGATGGATTTGATTTATGTTTTCTATCCATAGGTAATGTGAAAAATGTTTCTGTGGTGTCATGCTAAAGCAGAATATTGACACATATACTCATATCTGATAAGATACATGATAAGACAGAAATACTATACTAAATACGAAAGCTAGAAGATATGCACTTTCTACCAGGCTTGGTCAAAGTGCGCCTGTTTGGTCGTCAATCAATCCCATAAGCCATTGCATTGTTTTAGTGCATATGCAATAGATGAGAAGAATCTGCTCATGAAAAGCTGAACTCATCAGTGATGGAAAAATAATGTTGGTACCCCACATTCATGTAGGAGTGTGTCACGGTTACGCAGTACTCACACAGACCATAAAATCAACCAATCCCATCAGCTAGTGCGATGAGAGCACCGTCGAGTGACTTGTACGCTACTCAGTAATCGGCAGGAGATAATGTGGGTTAAACTACTGGAGTTAGCAAGGCTAGCATTATACCAGCAGCAGTCCACACAGTCTATATAAGTGTGAGCAGTTACACACTCATCAAAAAACAGAAACACAACTCTCCAAGGTCAGAAAAGTACCAACACAGAACTCCTCTGCACTGCTGTGAAAATCAATCACATCCTCATCCTTCAGAACAGGTCACATGTTCTCTTACCTTCTCCGACCATAGAGACTCCAACGGACATGCCCATGAACTTGCTCTTGGTCCAGATGTGGGTGTTGACACACATTCCCTTCTCCTTGCACTCACAGTAGAAGCCTGATACCGGTGGGTGGTGGGACACCTGCTCTGCCACAAAGCGAACACAATAGCAGTCCGAGTTCCTTCTGCTGCCGTCCACCCCCAGCTGTGAGGACCTGGGAGGGTTTGATGTGTCTGTGGGTGCTGAGTTGGGACCAGAGCAGTTGGTAGTCCTGAGAGGTCGAACGCGGTCCCGGGGCACGTACCAGGAGCAGTGGAAGTTCTCTCCCAGGATGGGGTTATAGGGCTTCTTGGCCACAGCACCCTTCCGGCCCTCATGAAAGGCAGTCAGGTAGTACTCCACAAAGCGAATGATCCGCTCCTCTGGCGTGCAGCCGGAGGTGATGGACAGGAACATGTCGGGGTGAGCCATGAAGTTGGCGTACATCTCTAGTAGGGAACGCTTCTCCAGGATGAACGTGGGGAGAACCACCTGGGACCAGGTTAACACAAGGTCTGTCTGGACAAGCTATGGTCTCCTGCTTATTATAATAACTTGGCTTACAAGGTTTGTCCTATAAGTGTTGTGGGTCTATGAAAAGAGGTGCTTTTGGTTTCAACGTGAGGATTGATGGTAAAAGTCTGGAGGGAGCTAAAGAAACCTGATCAACAATGTGATTCATGGGATCAAATAAACTGCACAGCCATGTCCATCAGCAGGATTTCTGTATTAATGGGAGCATTGACACCTTTACATTCAGTTGATTTTGAAACTGGTCTCAGACTTTCGGTCCCCACTGTCTAAATGAGTGCATGAATAACATGGTTCTACTGACAGAGCTGGCTCACAAGGTCCTCAGCCCTTCATAATCTGCCTACAGCCCCCTCACATGAGGTCTTAGGTATTCAAAGTCAGTGCCCCCCTTCTGCTGCACACCGTCTATCAGCACATTATCCATGTGATCCAGAGCACTGGTCCATCAGTAATCAGCCTGAGCTCACTGGTCTGAAACAGTCACCGCAGTCACATGAGCAGATGACTAAAGCCACAGAGGGGAGGGGTGGAGGAAAAGTTGTAAATAAAGTCATAAGAAAACACACAACATACACTTTGTGCTATTTTTACTGGTGTATTGGCCTCTAGTTTTACCACGATACACTGCAACTGAAAACATGTGTATTCTCCCACTGCACTGGTCTGCAGTCCTGGGCTGGGTGTATTAATCCAGATGTGGGTTCCTCTTCCCATTGTACGGTGACAGAACACACAGTCTCTATAATACTGCAGCTCACAGAACAATATCATAAACTCAGAACATGTTACTGTAGGGCAACATAAAGAGAAGATCACAAGGTCTAAATTCAATACTGATGAGAAGAGAAGAGAAATATCATGGGAATATTTGAAAACATCACATTGATTTTAGAATTTAAAATCAAGATTTTAATTTATGTTAAACTCACTAAACTTTATCATGTGTTCTAAATCCCTGTAGGGGGTTCAAGGAATATTAAACAAAGCCTGAGATTATAAAAGTTCAACAGTTGAGTGATGGCGACATGTCATGACATAATCAATGACAGAATTCATGTTTAGGCTTGTTGTTTTTATGCACATGGAATTGGTTGGACTAACTTACAATGAGATACTCTGACAGCACAGGATATGTTCTTCCTTATATTGTAGAATAATGGACCAACAGAAAGAAAAAAAGGTCTCGTACCATTTTTGAATTTTGTCTGGGGGACTGTCACTTCTCTGATACTTTTATTCCCTCTTTTAACACCCTGTGCTGTGTTAACTTGCCTCTTGCTTCAGTTCCCTATGCACTGGAGGACCGGTGATGGGGGTCTGGGTACAGGATCAGTCTCAGCTCGTCTCACTGACTTGCTCACAGACACTAAGTCAGGGAGGATTGCCTGCTGTCAGGAAGCTTGGACGTGTGTTTTCATCATTTACTTCAAACCTAAAATGATGAATGCAGAACCAGAGTCTCACCCGTGTCAGGTCCATGCCCAGTTTGAGCTGGGACAGCAGGTGAATGATGATGCTTCGCTGGTCGTCCAGGACTCCCAGGTCCTCCTCCTCATTGTCCTCTGAGTCTGTGTTCTCGTCGTTGTGATCTAGGGAGTCCGGGCTGCTGGTCTGGCCCTGCTGCTGTCCCTGCTGGTGGAGACACAAATCAGCTCATTAGGGGAAGTGATTTTACTCTCTCATTTTGAGAACATGCCACTAATCTGTTTACATGAGAAATAACATCTGTGTTATTGGCTGAATATGAAGCAGTGATTTTTAATGCTGTAGCCCCACCTGGAACAAAAAACATTAAGTTTAACAGTGTGGACTACACGTTATACTGTGCAGCAGCATTTATATACCAGACATAAGCTGTGTCCCAATTCAGGGGCCGCATCCTTCGGAAGACGCAGTCTAGAAGGTACGGCGGCTCGTAGCTGTCGTCGGTGCGAAGGCCGAACGGAAATGAGACGGTGTGGTCTAAGGAGGATTTTCGCTCTGAGTCACCATCTGTGCCTGCCTACACCGCTGCGTCGCAAAGCACGTTTTCCTGTATCAGCACAGTACAGGAAGTCCAGAACAATAAAGTCTCCTCATGTGTTTTTAAGGTTGACAGTGTTTTTCATGGTGGTGGTAGTTCCAGTCAAGGTAAATCTTTATGAGACAGTAAATAATGATATCTGAGACAATTATGGTGTGGTTTCTGCCCTCACACACCACCATCCATAAAGAGATGGTGTTCTCAGTTTGGTGTGGAGGAACCTGATTGGCCTCCGTAGAGCTCTGACCTCGACTCCATCCAACATCTGTGAGACGAAGAACGAAAACTGCAGGTGGTTCAGAAATCAGGTGTGAATGAAGCTGTTGTAGCGGCAGGTTAATGCACATGGAGCGTTCAGCTGCCGCCTGTGGCTTTGATGAATGTTGGACTGTCCACATACATACTGTTAAACTGTAAAATGGTTATTTCATAACATTCAACAGTGCAGTGGTTTGTGTGGTTTTTTTTTTTTAACTTGGCTCTAATTCACAAGCTAAAGGCTAATATCACATTATCCTCAACTGTGACATCATACACCAGTTATCCTGCATTTAGCAGCATCTTGATATCTGCACATGGAGTTATGGAGGACTGAAGGTCAACAGTGTTATCACCTGGTCAGGTGAAAGGACAACCTTTATTTCCCTCTGTGACACCTGTCTGTGCCTGTTTACTGTGCTGTACTCACTCAGCTGGAGACCAGAGGAACAGGACTGGACTGGCTCTCAGTCTCTGCTCCCAGATCTCCAGACGCAGGAACATCCGGTTAGGATCATGTCATCAAACAACTCTGTCTGAATGAAAGAGGAAAAGATGAATCGTTTTTAGTTTAGTTTTAGTTTAAAACTGCTGGAAGTGAAATCTCCATCCATCATGGTGCATGCTCTGCAACAAACAGGTCACTCCATCTGCAGCAGCTGAGGTGACACAGAGTCATTAATCCTGTTGTTCCTGATGCATGATGTAGGGAGGAGCAGCCAGGCCCACAGCACAGACTCACACATCCTTTTTCTGTCCTACCTGTCCATCATTCAACCTCAGCATTCTGAAAATTGCAGAAACCTGAGTTTCTGTCCGACCTATCGTCAGAGAATGTTTACTTATTACGCAGTGTGCATCTTTAGTAACTGATGACTGTGAGACACTAGAGGAATAACAGCATCAGGACCCTCCCCTCTAGTCTTCGTCAGGGGAGGGTCATGGTTTTGCCCACAATCAAAAAGCCACATGAGACAATAAAATAGAATATTATTTACCTATTTGAAGTTCATTCTGTGTCTGAACATTACACCAAACGCAGAACGGCCTCCGCATTAATTCTAATATCATGATGGATGTTCATCAGCGCTCCACATCTGCAGTGTCAACACTGGGCATCAAAGCACCAAACTCCTCCTTTACCTCCTGCTCTCCTCTTCAATCTAGACTCATTACGTTAGTGAGTGGATGCAGCCAAAAAAATAAGACTGGTTGCACAATTTCATTTTGGACCCAAATGCAGCCAACACATGGGGGTGAGTGCCAAACTGTTTAATTAACAAAAGAACTTACAAATTTGGTGAAAACTCAAACTTGAAAATGCAGGCGAACAGGATACAACAGGGGAACACAACAGGAAGCCCAAGCGCAAGGTAACAAGGAACATGAACAGGTAACACAGATGACAAACACAGACTGACCCAGACAAAGGGGGAGCACAGAGACTAAATAGACACAAAGGAGGCAAGGGTGACTGAACACAGGTGAAACACATTAGGGCGGGGCAGACAATCAACAAGGAGGGAACAGGACAAAGACAGGAAGAACAAACATCAAGAGACACACAAGGAAACTGACTACAAAATAAAACAGGAAATAACAAATGACAAAAGTCCAAACAAAATCTCAAACATAAAATATTCACCATCGCAACCCATTCTCAAGATGTTAAAAAAAACAAACAAAATTTTTAAACAAAATGTACACGTAGATTATGGCTGCCTGCCCCGCTGGCGGTGGCTGCCGTCCGATTTCAAACCACATTCAACACGTTTCCCTAACCATAAGATCAAGAGTCCAAATCTTACCCATACAGCTATCAAAATAATCTTATGAATTGTTTTTGGATGCATTGACCTCATCCTATAGGAGCAGTGAGTTAGAAAACACTCACATGGGTCGACAGTGACAGCCTGAAGGACTTGCTGGTCCCACGTCAGGTCTTAAGTTTTCTATTTTTCTATCCAACAGGAAATAGATAGAAATGTTTTTAAAAAAAAAAAAGATCTGCTGATAACCCAGACAGTTGTTCCAGGGAACTGTTGTCCCGATTTCAGATTCAGTTTGAAAGCCTCTAGACCAGTGTGCCTCATGTAGAGCTGTCGAGCTGATTCCAGATAGTGGGACCAGACTATAGTCTCAGGCTGATCCTGAATGAAGGGATCTCCAGATGTGAGTTCTGCCTCTCCACAGCTGCTGACCTCATGTGACCATTAGGGTCCCATGTTGAAGCCTATGAGGGCAGTGTGATGCACAGGTGTTTATGTTTGTCCTGTGATAACCGAGTGACCTGCCTCTTACTCAGTTCATTCATTCACATAATGTAGCTTTCTCTGGATCTCTGTTATCATCAGGCACAACATGGAGACCTGCTGTGTCAATGACAGTCACAGAGTTCACACTGACTGTGTAGCTAAACCAGCATGTTAAGCTGTGTCGGGAGGTGTTCAGGCTCAGTATTGAGTGTAGGTCATCTGTGTTTTGGCAGCACTCAGGACTGAATTATCCACAGAGGTTTCCTCCTCCCCAAAACGAACAGACCCTTAGATTATAACCAGTAGAAACACTGAATTAAGCAGTTTCACATTAAAAGTCAGTGTTTCTGAGACGCTGCTCTACGGACACAAGATGAATTCAAAAAATATATAACATAGGTCTAGTTTTTAGACATTTTAATACAGTTAAGTTACAGGTTATAACTTCAAATACCCAAATATAACTAAGGTTATGACACGAGAGACACAAACTGGCTTGCTGGTTTCCCATCACTAAATACGACTGTTTGACTTAACTTTCCTCTGGCACTGTGAAAACACTGGACTACAGAAATGATCACACACTCATGTGATGTTGAGTCCTGTATGAGTTGCTGGTTATTGAACCAAACAATGAGAGGTTTGTTTATCAGAGGTCTAGTCTAAAGTATGAATGGAGGAGTGAAACTGGAAGACACAGTCAAAGAAGATGGGGGGGGGGGGGGGGTGCACTCAAATTTAAAACTCTGCTGCCAAACACAGAACTTCACCTTTTCTGATTAACATTATGAATGAATAAATATTCTCCAACGAGTTTTAAATTAAAGTGTTTTTCTTTGCAGATATTAATTGTTGTTTTCAGTCGTGTTTCATTCCTGTGCTGTAAAGAACAACCTGACTAAACTTCAGCTCGGTGTTAGTCTCTCATCTCTACAGTTAGTACTCATAATTCATCTTCATAATAAAGCCAGAGCTGAAAACTGATGATTATCCTTTAAAGTCTTTACTGTTGAATTGTTTTTGCACAATCCGTAACCACTGAATGCATCAGCCCAAATACCCCCAGCTGTCATCATCATTATATACATAGATACTATCAAGACACAAGGAAACTTAGTTTTCCAGCTCTCCACTCTTTGTAGCAGCACGCAAATGTCTATGTACTGAGGAGTCTGGAAACTGATCCAGTGTCCATATTCCCTCCAGCCTCCAGAGAGTCCCTGTGGTGAACTCACAGAGATGAGAACACATTGTTTTCATCTGACTCTGGGTCAGACAACGAACAAGTGAATTCACCGAACTGTCAGTCTGCACCTTTAAACCAGAGAGTCTAATATATATATATATACACACATACATACATACACACACATTTTCTTGTGTGTGTCCAGCTTTAGAAAGTTTACTTCAAGTTGTAAATGGCTGGTGTGTTTCCACCGTCTGCCATCACACACACACACGCACAGTATAATCCTACCGACTTTGTATAAACAGCTGTCATTCATCCACTATCTGGTGCAGCTCTGTGGTACTAGAACATGGTGAACTGATAAAAACACACACACACACACACACACACACACACACACACACACAGAGTAGTGATCTCACACTCACAGTGTTGGCCTGGCGTTCTACCACTGCTGACTTGATGGGAGTCCTGCTGGGTTTCATGTCCACCATCCAGAGAGAGACGGACAGAGAAACGAGGGGACAGACCCCGGCTGATGTCCCAGCTCAGACACTACCACAGCAGGTGACTGACAGAGCCGAGGGTAGGGCGGAGACATTAACGAAGAAGAGTAGAAAGTGAGATGAGGAGGAGAGAGGAAGGAGGGTGGACAGAGAGAGTGGAGCGGCTGCACTTGTCATGGGCAGATTAAGAGTGATGCTGACAATCCTCTCTGTCCCACCGGCCTCCCTCTTTACATAAGCCCTGCCCCCTGCACTACATCAGAATCTGTCCCACTCTAATGCCTCCTCCTCCTCCTCTCTTCTTCCTCCCCCTGTTTCTCTCTATCTTCACTACTTTCCTCCGTACTCATTTGCTGTTACTCCTTCTGTCTGTCGTCCCA